CTTTCCTTTCGCGTAACTTCCTCAGCCACCAGACAACAAAAACGAAAAAGGAGAAACAGAATACTAGCGTTACCTTTACCAGCAGCGAGTTTCTCCGCTGAGTCAACTCACTTTACCCCTTTAGTCAATGAAAGCTTAGCTTCATAAAAAAAAAAAAAAAGTATCGTTCGTTTTAAGATATCTGGGATCGAATTAGCCAAAGAAATTCTCGATCTTTTCAAAAACAAAGTAAAAAAGGGTTTCTTTTTTCTCAGTCCGCGTGTGTATTTGTTTGTTAAGATTTCTTCTGTTTTTTTTTTTCAAGTAATGAAAGCTGTCTTTGCAAAATCTGGATCGTTGGAGTATTTCTAGCGTTGAGAATGAGAGCGCTCTCTCTGTACCGGGCGAACGAGAGCTTGAGATTTGGATTAGAAAAAAAATATATGGATATGATATAAATATTTATTGAATTTTAAAATAAAAGTGAAAAATATTTTTTTTTTATAAAAAAAAGCCTAGAAGGAAGACAACGTTTTATTTTATTTTATTTATTTTCCACCGACAAGACCTCTTGTTTTATTCTATTTCTTCTACCCCCGTAGGTTACCCATAATCAGTTGCCTACACGTCGTCTCCTTCGTAAAATAAAATAAAAAAAAATTATGTTTTTTTAATAGAAAAATACTAGTAAAACTTTTTTTGAATTTTTGAAAATATAGTAAAGAAGAAATAAATTTTCTTTTTTTTAGTTGAAAAAAAATTACAAGAGTTTTCCCTGTTGATTATTTCAAAGATGAATTTTTTTTTCGCATAATATCAAAAGTAAGATTGACCAGGCAACTTATAACCTGAACCCCTGGAAAATTTAATACTAAGTCACTGGTATATCATTTATTTATGTAATCATTTTTATGCTCTGTGTACGGAGAAAAAGTATAATTATATTATTATTAGTTGAAATGCACCACTGAACTGAAGTTGATGTTAGTATTATTATTGTTAGAATTATATTTTTTAAAATTTATGCATTATTTGGTTCGATCTATCATAAAATTTCGTTCAAGCTTATTATTATTTAAAATATTATTAAAATATTTTATATTAACAATTTTAATACTTTTAAGGATAATATGCAATTGTGTGACGTCAATGTGTTACCACAACTTATATGCAATTATCATGCTCCAAAATTATTAAGTCTAGCCCAGTTTAAATAGCAAAAAGTTCAATTTTAGTAAAGCTCCCGAAATCAAGCTTTCATGTAACATCAATTAGCCAAAGATCTTGGGATCTTAAAATTAATAGTAATTAGCATATAAAAATTAGTTTATATGAATTTAAGTTTGTTGAGAGAAACAAAAAAAAAATCTCATACAGTTAATAATTAATGATTAAACATAGATATATAAATTTTCACACGTAAATGTCTTTGATGAAATCTGAAAATTGACAATAAATGAGATTTATAAGGATATCAATGGTTAAGGTATAAATAGAGTGGAATATTTTATATCTTTATTTTCGAATTTTTATATTATATTTATCCCGTACTCATATTTAATTAGTATTTTAAATTCATATTTATTTTTATCCCTATAAATATTTAATGGGTATAGATTATTCATGTACCTATAACTTTTAACAAAAAATTAAAAATTAAAATTTAGAAATTTTTATCTTATATATTTAGATAAATTTTATTGATATATATCAATATTTTTTCAATAAAAATATATTACTTTTAATTAATCTAAAATAATAATTTATTTATTTATAAAAATATATAGTAAATATATAAAAATATATATATGTAAGGTAAAAGTACGGGAGGGATGCTATATTATTCCTCCACATCCACATATCTAATAAAAATTTAAAATTATACCCATTCTCATCTCCTCCTCACAACGTAATACTTATTTCAATCTTCATTTTAGTAAAAAAATCAGATTTCTCATTGGGTATAAGTAAAATTAACATTCGTAAAAAAAAAAAAAAAAACTTACATAAAGTTCTACACCTAAAATTTGTAAAATTTTTTATTAAAAATAAATAAATTAAAATTGATAAATTAAAAAATCTTATCAAATAAATCAAAGGTATAAAATTTAATAAATTTTGATATATTTTTTATATAAATATTTTTAGTAAAAATATTGACAAAATTTTTATTATTAAATAAATAATGATTAAATGTAAATTATAAATATTATTTTTATATTATTAATTTTCATATTAAAATTTAATAATTTATCGATTTAAATTTTTTATTAAATTATAAAACTTGATATAAATTTTGTCGAGAACTTAATCCAAAATTACATTCGCACAAAATCACAAGTCATAATCCTCGAGCCAGCTCAAAGCTTTGTTCGATGGTTTTACGCTGTAAACTTTGACAGCAAGGAAATGAAATGATTGACTTACAATTGAATTGGTCCACCTTGGAAAAAAAAGGACAAGAGATTGATTAAAACTCAAATTTTATATTTTTATTTCTACTTTTAGGTCAGTGGAGTTTCAATTTAAGCACAGAGTGACCAAAAAAGAAATTTTGATTTCAAATTATAGTAACTTTTAAAAAGTTTCTTATTATGATTCAAACCATATTGTTATTTTAATTTTTTTTTTAACTCATACATCATTTTTATTATCGCTATCTAATACAGGATAATATATTTAGTTATGCAAGCAATCTAAAAAAAATAATACCACGTCAGCAGTAAAATATGTATGAATAATTAATTAATAAATTTATTATTTTATTGACAATGTATAAATATGAAATTATAAATAATATGAACATGACAACTACGAAATTAATTTAGATATAAGTGAGTATTTTTATCTAAAGAGACAAATTTTATTTTTTTTCCACTGAAAGAAGAAAAAACTGGAATGATTTACAATAATGTTAACTAATGCAAATAAAAAAAAAAGGTAAATTTCATTGAGATATTTCCGTTTTGAGCATAATCAACACAAATCCATTAATTTGATAATCCACCCTCAAACTTTTCATATATGAATTATTATTTCAAATCTATTTTTATGTTCATTGTTATAGGTACTTAATAGGTATGAATAATTCTCATATTTATAGTTTTAAAAAAATAAAAATAAAAATTTATTTTTTAGTTTTTTTTAATTTTTATATTGTAATTTTTTATAAATATATTAATATATATTTTTCAATAAAAATATAGTTTTTAATTATATTATTTAATAAAAAATTTATTTATTAAATATACATAAATATATATAGATCCATGAGTCTTAAAATATTACTATATTATTCGTCTCTATCCTTATATATTATAAAAATTTAAAATTATATACCTCTTCATCTTATATTCATAATATTATTTTTATTTTTATTTTTATCAAATAAAAAATCAAGCTGTCTATTGAATAAAAATAAAATTAATATTTTGATTTTGAGTATATTATAAAAAAAATTACAAAAGTTTTCCCTATTATTTCAAAGATGAATTTCTTTCGCATAATATCAAAAGTAAGAATAGAGACGACAATTCAACCCGTCTCTGACGGGTTCTGATCCGATTCGATCTTATGAGGTCGATTTTTTTTTTTTAAATTCGAGTTTCGGGTCAAGTTCGATAATTTTAAAAAATAATCGAGGTCGGATCGGATTCAAATTTTAGGCAAATTTGACATGATCCGACCCGATATTATATAAAAAATTATTTTTTAATTAATTTTTTATTTTTTTATTTATATATATATATATTTATATAATGATATTTTTAAATATTTATATTTAAAAAATAATATTTTATATTTAAAAAATAATATTTTATTAATTTCGCGTCGAATCGGATCGGATACGATTTATATATTATCGGATCAAAATTGGGGTCGGATATAAAAAAATAAAAAAAATTTTAAATAAAATCAAACTCAAATTTATTAAAACATTAAATCAGATCAAGTTCGAAACGAGCAAAATCCGTCTCGATGCCAATCTTAATTAAGAATGGTCAAACAACTCATAACTTGAACCCATTGTAATTTTTTTATTCTCTATGTACGAAGAAAGAATATAATAATAATAATTATTATTATTATTATTATTATTATTATTGTTATTATTGTTATTATTATTATTAGTTGAAATGCACCTCTGAACTGAAGTTGATGTTAGTATTATTGTTAAAGGAGTGAAAATGAAAGGTGAAATAAAGCATTTTCGGCAAATGGATACACATTTATTTTTGTAAACCTGAAAAACACCCGCTCCCCCCCCAATTATAGCGATGCTTAGCTTGTTGGTCCTAAATCTCAAACTAACCACGCAAGAATTTGGAAACCCTGTTTCAATCAACGGAGAAACCAGAGAAACTGGCAAAATCCGAGGAAAAATCATAAGGGTTTGCTTGGAACTCGGTGATAAACGCTTTGCCGCAAGAAGAGAAGCGGAAACAGCAACTGTACTTAGATTTCGTCGAACGAGCATATTATAAAACAGGAACCTTTGGAGCGTAATTTATAAGGTAACAGCTTGGTCGAATCTTCTTGTGGGGCTTGTGTTTCTATGATTATGAAGAGCTTTTTACACTGGAGTCCTTACTTGGTTACACATCTGATAAGTTGGGGCCATCTGTCAACGTTGAACTCGGAGAGCTGATGTAAGGGTCAGGAATTTTTGCATCAGAGGATACGTAATGGACCTTTTTTTTGGGGGGGCATGTAAACGTTTTCGGATTTGCCAATTTGCCAAATTTGGATGTTTTCTGCGTGCCTGTGAAGCTACTTCAATTTGGATTGTGCTGCTTTTTGTAGTTTTCTAGAAAAGATTTTCGATGGACAGATATGTGTGGAGAGGAAACCATTGTTTACATGGATTTTGCTAAGCAATTTAGATTTTCGTATGGACATTTTATTCTATAACGGAAAGTGACATTGCTTGACAGACATAAATTCTCAAATATGAATTGAAATTTCAATCATCTTCTTGAACAGCATTCATGTTGTATTATCACACAAAAGTACTCGAACATTAGTTCGTGTATGTATGTGGTCACAAATTTTGTCAATCTTATTTAATGTTAATGATCGGAGTTTAGTTCTCGATAATCTCAAATATTTAAAAAAATTTTAAATTTTTATGAACTTCAGAATGACATTTTTTTTTACGTTCCAATTAGTTGATACCAAATGTTTTGTGGACTGTGGTTCATCATCCTATTGTTCAAGAATTGGCTGATAACTGAAACAGACTTAATCAAGGCTTCGGTAGAACAGTATATTAAGAAAAGCTGTCAACATTTGATGAAGCAGATGGTTGGAGGAATACCAATTGTCAGCTATTGAATGGGGTATTTGATTGAGTTGAAGTTAGAATTTGAAATTAGTTGATACTAAAAAAGAAAAACGAAAAGGACTTGAACAATTTCTCATCTCTCATGTCACTAGGCAAGTCATTCAATTACTCCCGACACTATCATGTATAAACAAAAATTGAAACAAAGAAACCAACAAGAAAACAATATAAAACCCAGTTTTGGAATTCATTCTATTCTGTTCACACGCTCAAGCAAGTTGTTCATTGTTATGGAAAATGCGTCTTGAAACTTTTCAAGCTGGGAATTTGAGTCTCCATATACTAAACCAGGCAATAGTTCATAGACAATGTACCTCCTCATATCCTGTCTCCGCCTTTCAGAAACCTTCATGAGACTTTCTGCCACATTTACCTTCATCTGTCTCACCTCTTCTTGGCCTATGAACACTGAATATTTGCTGTGATCCTCCGGTAAATGCCATGGATATTGGTAGTAAGCTGTGAATGGATCAAAGAGTACCGGAATGCAACCCGAAACAAGTGAATTAAATACGGATTTTCTTGTCGGGCTATCTCCGGGAGGTTGTAAGCAGAATTCAGACTCCATAAAGAGCTCAATAACTGATTCAGGCTGATCACATCCACCTGAACTACAATTTAGAAATCTGCATTTCGTCTCATCTGAGTTGCACTGATTAATCAGTATTGACCTTATGTTTTCCGGTGCATCAGGCCTTGCCGCGCCAGCAAAACTGACTAGGATCTTGCGATTTGATCGGATGATATTCATCTGCCAAGTGATGATATCATCATCTGAATGGGGATGAAGGTAGGTAGGATGAGGAATTCCAATGTCATTGATGTGCCATGGTTGGCGTTCAATCAACAGCTTCATTGAGTTCTGCATTTGATCAAGCTCTAGCAATCTAGTCCCCCATGATGCGTCACTTCTTCTCCTGAAATCCCATGAAATTTTACCCAACACAAATACATGATCCTTACCAGAGTTTTGAAGCCATGACTTTTTGTTCTCAAGCCACTTAACAAGTTCCAGTGCCAAGGTATCTTTAACATCATTAGAGACATTTTTGAAATGCCACCTCAGGATATCTAAGCCACCATAAAATGGAACATAGAATAGCTTGGCCTCATTTTCATTATAAACCCTGCAAGGGTGCTTCAAAGCCCTTGTGTGAAATATCAGCTCCAAGGCATACTGATGAGTGTGGTACCATCCTTTTCCAAGCTTTGCAATAGGCTCACCCATTGCCTCGTTATTGAAGTGCTTACAAAAATTTGTCCAAGGAATCATATCTGCACATTGACCTACCAAGTCCTTATTGAACTTTGATGGCAGATCATACACATAAATCCCCCTTCCATCACACGATGCCACATAATTCTTATTTGATATCCATGATCTTTGAACCTGTAGCTGCTCTTCAACAACCTTCACAGCAAAGGCAACTTCTCCATCACTGTCATTGTTTTGGACCCTGTTGCTGACTAGTGGATCTGAGTCTGGCCGGACAGTATTGACAACCTCTTTGACACTGGCACTAATATTAGGACTAATTGAACTATTGTTAAGAGCTGGCATTAGGATTTCGAAGTTGGGTTGGGTACCTGCCGAGAGACAGTAAAGATTGTTGAGCTTCCGTGATGAAACGCATACGTGAACAAATTTCCCAGAGATGATAGTGGTGGAAGAAGACCACAGGAGGATAAGAATTAACAGTAAGATTGCAGCAGGGATACGGTAGAGAATTTTGAACAAAACTGTATCAGAAAAATGATGTTGTTTTGTTTCTAATTTTTTGGATGCTTTAGACTTTTTTTTGGACAGAAAGATGGCCATATCTGGTGGAATTACTATCTGTTCATTGCTTTGTTCCTGGTTTTTGTAGTGGGAGGGAGCTGCATCTTTACCTAAAGAAAGTTGCCTCTGGACATGGTTGCACGTATAGATTATGGTTGGCTCGAAACTTGTGCGCACGTTTGTTTTGCAAAACGATTATTAGGTACTACATTCATTATTGACCAATTTATAAACATTTTATAAAACATTCGCTCCATGAAAGGTCAATGACATGAACATGACACCCCTGAATGCTGATGCAGCTGAGCTTTCAGGGCCAGCCAGTTCATATACCTCCAATAGTCAAATAGCTGGAATTCGGATACTTCTTGATGATGGGCGATCATTGGGATTTTTGTTGCTTCTTTAATGGTTGAAAACGCAGTTGTTCTGCAGGCATTTTTGCTGCTTCGTGTGGCCTTCCGGTCAGCTGCTAGTGGTTGGGGAACTAATATATGATGCAAAACCACTTTGACATTCTATTTGAGACTAGATCAATAGTATTGATAATTTTCACAAAGACATTGCTAAAGAAGGAACTCCTTACTTGCAAGTTTGCAAAAATAAAATGTTATATATATATATATATATTTAATATATAAAATTTTTGGAATGTTCGACATGCAGGGTTTGCGCGCGTAAGCCCCCTAGGTATAAAAAATATGTATAAGCAAGAAAATTTATGTAAGGCATTCGTACTCAAACAAAACAGCTTTTGGCGATTAAAAGTTTAAATGTCTACCACAAGCGAGGGAGAACCAGTTCCAACACTACAGTTGACAAAAATCTACCTCCATGACTCCCAATCCTTTAGTGATGTCTATCTTACTTATATCTAATAAAAAATTTTCATTTTTTACCTAAATAAAGATGAAAATAAATATTATACTCATCTAAAAATGTCATTTTTTTTATATCTAATAAAAAATCTGATTTTTTACCTAAATGAAAATAAAAATAAATATTATATTTTAAATATGAAAATGGATATAATTTTAATTTTTTATTAGGTACGAAAATGAGTAATACAATACCCACCCCATATCTATACCCTACACATATATTTCTATATATATGTATACATTTAATATATAAAATTTTTATTAAATAATATAAATTATTATTTTAGATTAATTAAAATTAATACATTTTTATTAAAAAATATATATTAATATATATATTTATAAAATATTACCTAAATATATAAATAAAAATAAATTAAGTAAAAAAAATAGTTTTTAATTTTTTTTAAAAGCTATGATTATGAGTAATCCATTAGATACTTGTGAGAGTGAAAATATAAATAAATTTAAAATAGTTATTAGGTATGAGTACAAGAATAGAGATGGAGATGAAAAATACTCTACTCTACCCATATAATACTCATTGACATTCTTACAATGATCCATCATTGTAGTATTTATAAAGAAAAAAAAGAAAGATTAAACAGCACAAAATCTGGTGATAAATACTAGTAAAGCAGTTTTCACTTGTCACATTCTTGAAAGCAATTGCTTTTTCGTTCTGGATCCACCTCCATCATTTGCTCCCTTTAACCGCCGGTTTTCCCGGTATTCTTTGGTTTTCATTAGGATCTTATGCACTTCATCAAAGTGAGGTTGAGTAGCATTTCTTTTATTCTCAATCCACTGCCGAACTTTCTTGCAAAGGCCCAATAACCTATCACGATCCTTCGCATCCAAAAGCTACATCCAATAAATTTTTATGAATCTCAATGTCTTTCCAAATAATTTCATTTTCTTGACACATACAGCTCTCCAAGCCAAGAAGGGAATAAAGATTCTGAAATTAGTCATAAGCTAAATTTGAAGTGATAAGATATAGAAATAAAAACGTTTGCCACTTAGAATAGTCACCAAACAACATATAATGAATTTGCGTATATCACAGGAAGCACTGCAAGTTAACTATGGGAATGTTTAAGCAGAAAGACAAATCTCTCACTGGTTTGAGCTCTGTTCAAAAGAAACAGATTAACATGACAATCTGTTCTGCTGAAATGTAAGGCATGAAAAAGTATAAAGTGAAATTCCACAAAATTAAACTTGACCTTTTTGCCATTTTTATGGTAGTAATTAAGCAAAACAATCATGAATACCACTGCAAAAACATGCAGATTTGTGTATATTTTTTCTCCATGTCCAAAACCCAACTCCCCAAAAAAGAATTGTGACTCAGGAGAACAGGCTGGGAGAAACTATGCCGGCTTGACATTTTTCTTTCCTTTCATGAGTGATTTTGTATGTCAATAAGGGAAGGTGAAGATCACAAAAAGAAACGGATGATAACTATCAAAAAGGACTTCATTTTTAAGAACCTAAAAAGTGAACATTGGCGCTTGCCTGTCTTCAAGGAAAGAAGTCATCTTGGGGGGGGGGGGGGGTGCCGGGGCACAGCTGAATCTGTATCATAGACTATTATGTTCCACAATAGAAGTAATGACAACAATAAAGAATTGAAATGTGGACAAAAACATCAAGTCATAACAAATATACCTCAAGTTGCATTATTTCACAAATGAGGCTGAGATCTGCTATCGATGGTTGGTTCCCACCCGGCAGAAAACGCCCATTGCCCTTGAGCCAAATGGACTCTATATTCGACAGAGATGAGGACAGAAGTTTCTCAGCTTCAGCAGCTGCTTGTGGATTCAAAGGAAGGTCAAGAATAGGTGCTACTATAGTATTCAGAACATATATGGCTGAAAAAAAGAAGCATCGATTTCAAAAGCCATATCGCACCTGAGAAAGGGCCATTGATATGCATAACCACATACAGAAGCATATGTAGATAGGAGGTAGCAAAGCTACATAGATAATCAAAAGTGAATTTGTGTTTACACACAAGCACACACATATAGTGATGGAAGAGAAGCCAAAAGTCCAGAATAGAAGATATTTTATCATATATGATAGTACAATGTTGTGATTAAGGGAAATAAGTGTAGAGATCTAATGCTTGAAATGCCTACGCAGAGAAAAAGCTGTTATTTATAATAGCATTAATCCACAAAGGGTAACATGTCATAAAACAAAAATGCAGATATGAGCGACATTAGCCTACACCATCAATTATCAATCACCATTAACAAACAAGAAAACTTAAATAGTTTGACTCTTTTTGGGGTTAATTATACACCTGCACCATGACGTAAGTTGGAGTGATGCCAATCCATATCTTACTTGAAAACATCAGCTGGATACCTTAAAACATGAACATGGAAATTAGTTAATAATTAGATTGCATATTCAGACTAAAAGTGAAATGTGCCAAAATTTATTGATAATCCTGTGACTAGAACTGCACAAGCTTCAGTTAAATAGAAACATATAGAACACAGATATCACCCCTCACGTTGGTTGTGTCATAAAATCCTTCAAACATTAACATCATATTACACGGAGCCATGCACATACCACTTAAATTATTAAACTATCCACGTGAAAATAGTGATATAGCACTGTAAAAGAATATAGTATATAGAAGCTGGGGAAGGAACTCCAACAAATAAGCAAGTAAAAAATTCAATATCAACACGCACTATCAGCGTCCACGCTCTCCTATATTGTCCAACGCATCATTTAACATAGAAAGCAACTGCCCTTACCAATGGTCTGCAACACCAGGAAATGCACAAGCAAGATAGATAAGAATGGCGTGGCTGCAATAATAAATTAGTTAATATATATATATATATCAAAACTTTGAAATAAGGGGAAAAAGGGTAAGTGAAATCCTCTTTAAATACCTCTCAAACAACTTAAATTTTCCATCAACAATGGCCGGAAGCTGGTTCATGGGATTTATTTCTGCAACAATAGCATTAGGTCACTAATTAAATGATACTGACAAATTGGGGTACAATTTGAATTAGGACTAAGAATGAAAACGTACCGGCGAATTCAGGAGTTAAATGCTGTTGCTTTGGGATGTCTACGTTGATCTCCTCATAGTCTATACCATTTACCCTAAATTTACAGGAAAAAAAAAAAGGAATGAAGCAGAATTTTGAAAGCCAGAAACAAAAAAGTAAAAAAAAAAAAAGTTTACAGGAAAAAAAAAAAGGGAATGAAGCAGAATTTTGAAAGCCAGAAACAAAAAAGTAAAAAAAAAAAAAAGTTGAAAATTACTCGCAGAAGAGGATGACAGCGCAACAGGGTTGGGACATCGGATAAGCATATACTTGGAGCTTCATTTTCCCCGTTTTGTCTTTGTACTTGTCTTTCTCTTTTGGCTGTTGATACTTGATAGTGGTATCTGTTCTCTTCTCCCTTTTTTTTCCCTTCCTAAGTATTTTCTTCGCCTGCCTATCGAATCTGGATTAGGAGAATTAGAGGAGCAATCGATTTTGGTCAAATTGATAAAAAGAAAAGGTAAAACTGTCATTGTACTCAATGGTGATAGTACACCGACGAGGGGAATTCCATTTGTATCTTTATTTTTTTTCTATACATCCCATAATTAAATTCACTCTAAATTTAAATTTAAATTTTTTATTTTATTAAATACTGCCCACATCTTTTTTTTTCATTTTTCCTTTGTATCTTTCACTCTTTCATTCTCTCTTCATTTTTAATCCAAAAAAAAATCTTAAATTTATCAAACTTACCTCAAATCACTTGTGTTTTTAAATTTTATATTGATTAAAGATAAGATTTCTAACTTATTTTTGATTTACTTATGTAAAATACATATAAATATAAATTAGAATTTATGATACGATTTAAGTTAAATTGAACTTCTCAAAAATAAATTTTCGAAAAACCTTAAAATTGTTTCTCAAAAATCCATTTTTGATGAGGCTTAAAGCTTTTTGAAAATCCAAAAGTAAAAAACTTCTCAAAAACTATTTCTACAAAGCATTTGAACTTTTTAAAAATTTATTTTTGAGAAGCTTTAAAATTTTTAAAAATTCATTTTTGAAAAATTCAATTTCAAAGTTTTAATTTAAGCTTTAAAGATTTATGATTTAGTGTATGAGAATGATTGATGAAAGCAGAAGAAGAAAAAAAAAAGGGAAATTTTTTGAAAATTTATTTTCGAAAAACTCAATTTCAAAATTTTAATTTTAGCTTTAAAAATTTAGGATTTAGTGTATGAAGTGTACAAGAGTATAAAGAGTATAAGGGTATTTTCATCATTTATTAAAGGTTAAATTTGGTATTTGATATGTGAATATTTTTTAAATAAAATTTATGAAGTGTATATAAAAG